ACACACACACACACACACACACACAGAACTGTTCAATTTAGACTACTGGCCTCATTTTTGTAGCTAATTTACTCAAAATTTAACTTTCCCTGAAACTAGAAAAAGGCCTGTAATAACCAAATGAAAAATAAGCTGCATTGTAAATTGCTGCTCTCCAGATAAGGAATAATAAGCAAATGACCCTATAGTTCTCTTTTCATATAGTTATTCCAAGCAAGTGCTATTCCACATGCATTCAATTGCTAGAGCACAGGCATTGAGAAGCGTCACTTCCCTTCTATGGCTATATTGTTTTAAAGGCTGAGGGAATAAAATGGGACAGATTTTTAAAAAGACAAAGAAAGTGGGAAAAAGATGCAATAGATAGAAGGTGCCACGTATTCTGGAAAGAGCATGTGAAAGAAAAAACAGCCAACTGATGTAGTGAAAAGCCAGATCCCAGGGGTCTACAGAGGGACCACCAAAAAACTGTAAGCTCATGATGCCAAAGAATCCAAGAAAAGCCCAGGAATCAGAGGTAACAAGTTACTCCAGAGGCAGAGGCAGAGGTGAGATGGAGTTTAAAACAGATGGATCAAGTGCCCCTGTAAGGGGCCAGTAAGATAGCTCCGCTGACTAAGCGCCTGCTTAGGCAAGTGCAGGGGTCAGTGTTCATTTCCCTGCCCCCACCCCCAGGTGCGCTGAGCTGGCCACCAAGACTGGGTGTGGTGGCACACATCTGTAATCCCAGAGCTTGGGAGGCTGAAACAGAAGGATCACTATGAGTCTAAGGAGCATAGTGAGACCTTGTACCAAATACATTAAAAAAAAAAAAAAAAACCTATAAGAAACACAGGCATTGCTGCAAGGATCGCTGTGAGTTTGAGACCATCCTGGACAACAAAGTGAGTTCCTTCAAGGCCAGCCTGAACTACATGGAGAAACCCTGTCTCAAAGACTGAAAAACAAAAAAGGAAAAGAAAAGAAAGAAACCAATAACCCTCAGAACTCCTTCTTAATTCCACACAGTGACATGGCTACCCTTTCACTATTCAGGAGAAGCTGGACCAGAGAGGCACCAGGAATAGTAGAGGATGATGTGGAGGCACGACCAGGTGAATGTCTCTCTCCTGCAAAGAAAGATCTCAAACCCACTCCCTGTACCTCAGTTCCCAGAATGCAGGCAGCAAAGCCACTAATCCCCAGGCAGGAGATTAAAGGATTCCCCTGAAGCTAAATTGGTCTACCCAATTGAAGACTCACCAACACTGACATTTGAGGATCTTCAAATGAAGGGGCTAAGCTACTACCTTGTCATCCAAATATGAAGCCCACAGAATATCCAACTGCCTTTTCAGCATTTTACTAGTAAGAAAACTCAGTCAATTATTATTTTAGGAATATTAAATATATATGTCAAGTCAAATAGAGAAAAAGAAACTTGGAGGAAACACATAATACAGGGGAAAAAAGAAATTGGAAACTTATAATTAATTTCCTCAAGGAGATAAGAAAAGTATCTATAAAATAAGAACAGGTTCCTACCAAAAAAAAAAAAAGACAGAAGTAAAATTCTTTAAAAATTAAAATATGAGGGCCAGCCAGGTAGCTCAACGGATTAAAATGCCTGCTTAGGCAGAAGCAGGGACTGGGGTTTGATTCCTAGCATGCTGTGCCGGCCTCACCTCTGGGGCATGCTGAGATGGTGATTGAGACTTGGTGTGGTGGTGTGTGCCTGTAATCCCAATGCTTGGGAGGCTGAAAACAGGAGAATCACTATGAGTCCAATCTGTGTAGTGAGACCCTGTGGACCCTGTACTAAATAAATAAAAAAGAAAAAAAATAAATAAAATATGAAAGCAGAAATTTAAAGCAGAATCTTGTAGGACGATTAGAAGAAAAACATGAAAAATTTCCTAGAAAGTAGGACACATATACAAGGAACAGAAAAAAGAGTTAGAAGATCAATCCCAGGTTATAGCAACCAACTAATAGGATTTTCAAAGGGAGAAAGAAAACAGATAATGAAAAAAAATT